TGCCATAAATCAGTGACTTAAATTGTATGAAGCCAACCATTTGTTTATTGCAAATAATTGCCTCAGGCAACCAGGCAGATTACTGTGCATCACCAGATGGCCAATACAGAAATCATGCAGACTATATAATTGGAAGCATTATATACGAAGACTCACTATTCTCTCTGCCAAAACAAGTACCGGAGCGGCCTGTGGTACAGACCAGAAACTGTTAATATCAGAAATCAGGGGAAAGCTGATGTAGAACATAAAAACAATCATAGCACTGTACAATATAATTTACATAACACTTCTGATGAATTTAACCTCTATATAAAGAATAGATTTGCATGAATAAACTCAGTGCAAAGAAACAGAAGAAAACAATGACACAGAAAAAGAAGAATTCCTCATGTAAAATCCAGTATATTGAAAGGAAATTTGAAGTAAGATCAGGGATGCTGAAAAATCAACAGGGAATATATTATTTCATCAAGATAAAACAAAGAGAAGGAAACAATGCACAGAAGAACTGCACAGAAGAGATGTAAAGAAAACAAAGTCTTTGAAGAACCTTGTGATAAAAAACCCTAAAATTTTAGAAAGTTATGTGAATGTCAGTCTCAAAGCTCGATGGAATACCAAAGGATCCATTTCAAGCTATAGAGACTGAATGCATCAAAATCCTTAAAAAAAAGAATATACAAACAAATATGGGAAATGAGACAGTGGTCCACAGATTGAAATTTGAAGAAAAAAGGTGAAAAAAATAAAATTACACTTGAACATTAAGAAGACAAAAATCATTACAGTGGGGTCTTGACTTGAGAACTTAATCCGTATTGGAAGGCGGTTCTCAAGTCAAAAAGTTCTCAAGTCAAATCTGCATTTCCCATAGGAATGCATTGAAAACCATTTGATCCGTATCTGCTCTTTTCCGTCCATAGAAACTAATGGGAAGCTGCTATTCCGCCTTTGACTACTAGAGGGGGATATTTTGTTTCTTTTTTTCTTAGGTCAAGAAAGGTTCAGGGAAGGCAGGGAAAATACAGTCCAGGCAGTACAGTACCAGGCAGTCTGAAGACTGTCTCCCAGTCCACTCTCTAAACGCTGGGAGGAGTGAGGAAGCAGACAGGCACCCTTTTCACTGGCCAACAGTTAACTGAAAGTTCAAATTTTGCACTTTCCCTGCCTCCCACGTGGTTTTTTTCAGTTCTTAACTCAAATCTAAGTATGTAAGTCAAGTCAATATTTTCCTATGAGAGTGGTTCTTAAGTCAAAATGTTCTTAACTCAAGCCGTTCTTAAGTCAAGACCCCACTGTATTACAGAAGACTTTAATCCTGACAATCACGAAACAAATGAAGAAACCAAAAACTAAGGCATTTTCTCTGCCTTAGTTCAGTCTGCAACTGGGAAATCAGAGCACAAGGTAGCTATGAAGCAAATGGACAAGTTTCTTAAGAGTAATGATTTGTCACTGGAGGCTAAGACCATGATCATCCATAGGATAATATTCTCAATTAATTAACGTATTAATCAATTAATGTATGGATGTGAAATCTGGACAGTGAAGAAAGCTGACAGGGAAAAAAACCCACAATTTTTTATAAGTGTGGTACTGGAAGACACCACAAAAATACCAGAAAGCTAAATAAGTGGATGCTATATCACCCTACTCACTAAAAACAAAGATAACTAAACTGAGCCTGTTGTATTTTGGACATATGATGAAAATACTGACTGGAAAAAATAATAATGCTGGCAAAAGTTGACGGCAGCAGGAAAAGAGGAAGACCAAACATGACATGGACTAATTTAATTAAAAAAACTATGGCCTTTAGCCAGCAAGAACTGAATAGGAGTGTTAAGGGTAGGATCTTTTGGAGGTTATTAATTCATAGGGCTGCTGTAAATCAGAAGCAACTTGACCACATGTAAGAACTACAACAGCCTCAACAAAGAATGGGTGAAAATTTCCTCTTGTTTGTTTTTACACAAGAACTTTTTAAATAAACCTTGGGATATTTGCATGGAGATTTTATCCCCTATTTTCTGTAAATCTCCTGGGAGATCAGACGAGGATTACAGTGGTGCCCCACACAGCGAGGTTAATCCGTTCTGGATTAACCTTTGCTGTGGGAAACATCGCACTACGGAACACAAAAAGGCATTTAGTTGTTGCCAGCATGGAACACTCAGCACATTTGCAATAGTACAACATTATACTGTGTGTATAGTGTGCTATAATGGACAGAGTAATGGACTACAACTCAAGTGATCTGGGTTTGAGGGGTAGAACTGGTAAACCACTCCTTAAACACCTTACTTACCTGAAAAACTCAGTAAGAGTTTTGCCATAAATCAGTTCTGACTGACAATACATGACAACATTACATTGCCCCTTGTCAAACAGGATTCCAGCCAGTATTTAGTGTGATCAGTCTCTTTCAATTTCACTTAAAGTATGTATATTTATTCAGAATTTTCCCTAAGGTATGTACTTTATAATCAGAAAATTGCAATGCAAAATTCTGAGAAGTACAAAAACTATGTTCCAGACTGTATAATGCTGTGATCGGTACACGTTAGGTTTACTGCTATTCACATGCAAAACAACCAAATTTCTCCCTCAACCTTATCTATCACTCAAATTTTAACTCTGTTCTGTGTGAAGTGTTAAAATAAATAGCAATGTACCACAGTAAGCATGGTTTCTGTGTAAAGCTTGGAAACATTCTATGATACTTGAAAGCTGTTTCATTTCAAAGTATGCAATTCCTAATTCTGCATCTAGGGAAGTATCCTATAAACTGTGGAAATCTTGTTGCTGTTGTTATGTGAGGTCCATTTGACTTCAATTCATAGCAACCCTATGAATGAGAGATCCCCAAATGTCCTGTTCTCAACAGCTCTTGCAAATTCAAGCCTGTGGCTTTGTTTAGTGAGTCAAACCAGTGAGTTCTCCTCTCTTCCTGCTGCCTTCAACCTTTCCCAGCATTATTGTCTTTTTCAGAGAAACTTGTCTTCTCATTATGTGTCCAAAGCAGGACAGCCTCAATTTCAACATTTTCACCTCCAGAGATAGTTTATGCTAGATTTGACCTAGGACCCACTTCTTTGTCTTTCTGGCAGCCCAGGATATGCACAAAGCTCTCATCCAGTGCCATGTTTCAAACAAATCAATTATTATTGTTCTAACTAGGTGCTACTTGAATGAAAAGCTGGTTCAATGCTGAATACAATAGTGGAGCGGAAATTGATAGCCAGCCCTCTATGTTGTTTTACACAAATGGTAAGAACTAGTTCATACTAAAATCTATAAGCATAATGAAAAAAAAACTCTATTTTTCATATTCTTTCACCACAGCCTCAGATGAATATATAAGATGGTGCATAACATACATATAACATGGAATGTGAGAGGTATGAATCAAAGTGAATACAAAACCAAAAGCAAGAAATGGAACATTACAATAATTTATGTGTGCAACAGTTGTTTTTGGCCTAGCAGTCAAAAACAAAGCAGGAAAGTGACTTAAATTGTATGAAGCCAACCATTTGTTTATTGCAAATAATTGCCTCAGGCAACCAGGCAGATTACTGTGCATCACCAGATGGCCAATACAGAAATCATGCAGACTATATAATTGGAAGCATTATATACGAAGACTCACTATTCTCTCTGCCAAAACAAGTACCGGAGCGGCCTGTGGTACAGACCAGAAACTGTTAATATCAGAAATCAGGGGAAAGCTGATGTAGAACATAAAAACAATCATAGTACTGTACAATATAATTTACATAACGCTTCTGATGAATTTAACCTTCGTTCTGCGATTTCCCGCCTATACGGGCACCGTTTTGCGATCGCATTTGCGATCAGAAAAACGCCTCGTAGAGCGAATTCATCGCTCTACGAGGCACCCGTTCTGCGAGGCACCACTGTATGTGCATTGGCTACTCTCTGACAATACCCCTTATTACAAGACAAGTGGCCAAATTCTGTGCTGCAGCAATGGTTATTCGTGAACAGATGTTTTGGTAGGTGATTTTAGATGGACAATATAATGTTTTTAATATAACACTGCCTGAGGTTTTACCTATATTAAGGATATATTATGTTATTAATTGGAAAGAAGGGGTTGTTTTATCATGTTTTAATGGAATTTTATTACCTGACTTTACTAAACAATAATTACGGTATATGTGTATCTATTTTCTATTGATTTCGTTTTACTGGTCTTTGACCGTAATCAAGCATACTACTACTACTTAGATTAAAGAATTCAATAAATTAAGAAGAATTTCAATAATGTAAAAAAGACTTGTTAATTCGAGGAGAATACTTTGAATCTTTAAATGTTTAAAGACCAGCTTTGAATCCCTGACTTTAACCCCCTGTGTACTCAACCACATTTGTGGTGCTGATTTAGGATTGCCATTTGTTTTTCTTCCTGCCACACTTTAACAGACACATTACAATGTGATGTTTTCTTTACTGGAAATTACTCCTATTTATTCACTTTGCCAAAGGCAATCGACATTTATATTTGTTTTTGGTAAGCACATTCTTCATAAAATCAACCAAAAAGTCTTGATTATTTTAAAGATAGGACAAAGAGAAACTGGTATGTTTGTCCATCTGCAACCTCAGGGTATAAGTATATAAAGTTGTATAAAGACATGATCAAGTGAAATTCTTGTGCAAATGGATGGGTTTTAATGGGTGTTCTCCATTAATTCTAACCTCATAGCCAGGTTTTAACTGAAATACAGATTTCGGACATTCTAATATTTAAACACTTAATCCTATTTTCAATAATATGATTAGCAGACTGAAACAATTCTTAGCAGAACTGAATCTTTATTAACAAATGACTTAATCTAAACAGTGACACATTTTTGGACTCACAAGCTCTGTCATTTGTAGCTGTTTATTACTTCCAATATTATAGTATTTTAACACTGAAATAAAAAAGAAAAATATTCAGGAAAAAGTCTTGAAAAATGCAGAAATACCTTTTTGGCTTTTGTTTTCTTTTCATATGATTCCACTAATGGCTTTTTCTTTTCCTGAGCTGTTTCTTTGGAGAATAAGTACTCAAATTCACTGGTATCAAATATGTTGGGTTCTTCTAATGATTCCCATAAAGTTGATTTTGAACTGGGTCCCCTATGGGAAGAAAGGCAGCAAACAAACATACATTAATTACTATTTATTTATTTTTTTAAAAAACGTATGGTCCAACTATCTGACCTGTGGTTACTCTGGGCAGTGTGCAATAGTTAAAAAAAAAAACCAATTATAGCATATATAAATTAAATTATACAAAGAAAAACTAAAGTAAATTTTATAATCATTTGGATGGCAGCAGCTATTATGCACTCAAGTGGAGTGTTTAACAATGGCATGATTTAGAAAGCCTGCTGAAATGAGAACATTTAAAATATTTTTTGAAAATCCCCAAGGAGGGGACCATGTAAATCTTGAGCAGCAGTTTGTTCCAGAGCAGAGCAGAGATTGCCAAGAAGGCCCAGTTTCTTGTTTTCCCCTTCTGGACGTCCCTCAGGGTCAGAATCCTCAGCCGTCCAGCCTGAGATGCATAAGTAGGACAGGCAACCACAATTGGAAAGAGGTTTTCTGTCATGTACTAAGGTTCCAAATTGCCAACCATATCAGCTAGTGTCCCTAAATAAATTCTGACTAAAATTCGGATAGTACAAAATAAGAACCTCAGAAGTTCTCTCTTGAAATGACAGGCATACTTTCCTGCTCGTTTAATATCCAATTAATATTTAGTACATCTGCATCCAAACTTTGCAGAGGTTCCCCTAGATAATAAACTAAAACTTTTCATCCAGTCAGATGCAGGGATTAGGGAGCTGAATGAAAAACAAATTGCTAAATACATTTACACCAAGGTTATTATATACACTTTCAACTTGCTTGGAAATCCAGCTCAATTGATACCAATCAATACATAATTCCTTCTTTATTCCTCCCCAAACGTCTGAGATTTGAAGTAAAAAGAAAAGTCAAATTAAAATTCCCTAGTTAGCATCTTAAATGACCACAAAGACACTTCCTCCTTCCTACGTTTCCTCTCCCCCACCTGGCATTTTCCTTCCCTCAAAGATTTGAAGTAGAAGTCTAATCCTTTTTTAAAGAGAGAGTTTGAGATGTGTGTGTCCCCTGAATCTCCAAGGTGAACCTAACACTTGTCTTAAGGTACTTTACGGAAGTAATGCTTCACCTCAGACAAAGTCAAAATTACTCCAAAGTAGCCCAGCTGAACTCTGGGATCTGGATTCTTCTGAAGGGGTTGCTGAATTACTAATCAGCCTTCTGAACGCATACAGAAATGGAGGAAGGAAAATTATAGGCAGAAGCCAAGCAAAGCATCCTCAACTATATTTCTTTTTTGTCATTAATAACACAATAATTACCCCTGAAACCTGAGATCTATAATTTAAAAGAGCTTTATTTTAATATTTTTTTTCCACTCTGATTCAGGAATAAACCTATTTTGTAAGAAAGGAGGTCTTCTGGATTAGATTGCTTTCCTTTGGAAACTGCTGAAGAAAATTATTTCCAGCCTTTATTAGTGGCAACTGGTATGCTTCTTCCAGCAGGTGTCACTCCCATAATGTTTTCTTCCTGTCTGTCATTTCAAATCAGGTTCTCATCTTTTTCCAAATACTGTATAGCCAAATTACTATTTCCTGGTCAAATCCCATAAAGAATAACATAGTAATCAGCAATGTTCGTTAAATAAAATTCCAGATTTAGATATTCTTGGAAACTTTAGCCAATAGACACTTAGTAACAAATGTAGGTGAGGATAACACTATAAATGCTGCTTTTAAAATCGTCCTGCATTTATGTATGAATGAAGCCTGAGTACACTAACTTTGTTTAAAAGAAATGTAAGGTGCTTTTTTAAAGTATCGCATTTTTAATGTCAGGGGGGGAAAAATCCTCCTCCTCAACATTTGAGCACAAATATCTGGTTCAGATATCATGATCTGATCTTGGATTAATATCCTGCTTTTATTTTTGTAAGCAATGATTAAACAATAGCTTTCCAGTTTGAATGGTGTGGATAATTATGGTTCAAGAAGCCAAGATAGAAGCATCAAAGCTCTGTGAGGTGAAGTTGGAGAAGCAAGAAATATGGACATGGGCACACAGTTCTTTCTCAGTCTAACCAATGTAATTAATGATCACCCAAAGTCTGTGATTTCCAAATTGCACCAACATTTGCTTTGTAATAGTGTCCAGCATTCCAGCACAAAACACACTGGGGATAAAATACTAAGCTGTGCCCAGGGGAAGCTTGTAGCCTGGGACTGGGGTGAACTTCACCCCAAAATTTGACCCCCAATCCAGTGCTGCCTAAGGCTGTGAGAATTCATGATCATTTCTACAACCCTAAAACATCGTATCACTTTAGTAGGAATCCAGAAGGCAAATCTGAAAATGGCACACGCACAGATTATCCCTCATTTGCATTAGATTAAAACTACAGTGGTGCCTCGCTTGACGATGTTAATTTGTTCCAGCGAAATCACTATAGAGCGAAAACATTGTCAAATGAAATTAAAAAACCCCATTGAAAGACATTGAAAACCGTTCAATGAGTTCCAATGGGCTGAATACCTGCTCGTCCAGCGAAGATCCTCCATACGGCGGCCATTATTGGTGCCTATAAAGCGAGAAATCCATCCTAGAAAACAGCGGGGGGCCGTTTTCTTCAGCCGGTGGCCATTTTGAAACCCGACAATCAGCTGTTTGCTGATCGCAGGGAACCGACCATCGTTAAATGAAAAAAACCCATTTAAACCATTGTTTTGCGATTGCAAAAACCTAATTGTACAGCGATTTCCTCGTTAAGCGAGGCAATCGTTAAGCAAGGCACCACTGTAGAGGGATTACTAGAGACAAATGGCAGTGTATCTGTCCTTGTAGAAAATAAGTATTTAGAACTGTGTATAAAAAGAAATTTTGATGAATGATGACTTCAAACTCTTTAAAAATTGATGTTGATATTTCTGTTTTTGCAATTTGATCTTTTTCTTTTAATTAATCTTAAAAGAAAGATTAATTGATATACTACTTGATATACTACTACCGCATGTATCAAATTAATGGCCAGTATCTTCTTGTGTAGTTGGATGGTGTCACCGGCAGTGGCAGATTGGTGCTAATTAAAATGTCCCTGCTTCAATTTTAGGTTGCACACAACCAGCATGCAATGAAATGAAGACACACAGAACTTATAATCAAAGCAAGGATTCTTGAATTAGCAGTACTTTGCAGCTGCTGGTGACATCATTCCTGCTGCACCAGTGGGACTATGCAACAGGATTTGGGCCTGCTTATTAATGATGGACTGGCTGACTAACAGATGGAAAACATTGTATCATATACCAAAATAACAGGAAAGAATAACTTTACCTTCCATTGTTTATTTGTATTCTATTCCAGTAGAGTGGCTTCATGGGGCAAGAAGGTTCTACTGCAGGTTTTCGAGGACCTTGCCTTGATGGTAAGAACACATTAGATCCAAGAAGTGGTGGTGGAGGAGGTGGAGGAAGACCCGCTCCTGATGGAGGAGGCCCTGGTGGTGGAGGTGGTGGAGGCGGAGGTAAATGAGAAGATCCCAAAGCTGCAGGAAGTGGAGGTGGTGGTGGTGGTAACGGATGGGCAGACCTCAAATCTGGTGGTAAGCTAGGTGGTGGAGTGATAGACCCCAACAGTGAAGCTGGAAGAGGTGGTGGTGGTGGTGGCGGCGGTGGTGGCAGTGGCAACCTTTGATCTGACTGAGACTGAACACTCCCTGAGACGTGGTTAGAACTGCCTGTTTCCTTATAGTCACCTGAGGCAGAAATATTATTATTCAAAAGCGGGATTGTAAGCTTCTTAGGTATTATTTGGTTATTCTTCACTGTTCGGTTTTCATCTTCGCTTGGTTTTATAAATGTTTCTCTGTCTGTTTGTATGCACACATTTCTGTACGACTTTGGTGGGTTGTCGTCTTCAGTGGATATGCAAACATCTTTTGCCTCTTCACTTCTCCTGCATAATTTATTTTCCAGTTTATTTTTAAAATTTGCAATATCTTCCTCAAGCTTTGCTACGGATGAAGCATGCTCTCCTCGAAGGTGAAAGACTCTGAGTTCAAACTCAGACTGTAAAAGAAAAAATGAGGTCAGTATATAGCCATTAATTATTATGGATCTTCAATTGCTTTAGTTATTGTACATAACGTCTGTGGTGACTCACTAATGTAAGAGAATCTGTTTTATAAGCTTAGAGATGAGTTTGGTCAGACACACGCCCTGGAATTGTAACACAAATTACATATTTTTAAAAGCTAGTATATTGGTGCATTACATGATTGTGGAAGGGTGACTACATGAGCATCCCCCTTGCTCCAGCAGACTGCCTTTGCATGCCTAATCTCTATTGGTTGTGCAACCAGTTGCACTGTCAGTCATGCAACAGGGGCCTGGTCAAGTAACAAATCACTTATGTGATTGCCCTCAAGTTCCAAATAAGAAATAGGCCAAAGGTATTAAGGTAAATGTTATATTAATTAAAGGGACGTGGTGGCGCTGCTGGCTAAACCGCAGAAGCCTCTGTGTTGCAGGGTCAGAAGACCAAGCAGTCGTAAGATCGAATCCACGAGACGGAGTGAGCTCCCGTTGCTTGTCCCAGCTCCTGCCAACCTAGCAGTTTGAAAGCATGCAAATGCGAGTAGATTAATAGGGACCACCTCGGTGGGAATGTAACGGCGTTCTGTGTCTAAGTCGCACTGGCTATATGACCACGGAAGATTGTCTTCGGACAAAAACGCTGGTTCTATGACTTGGAAACAGGGATGAGCACTGCTCCCTAGAGTCGAACACGACTGGACAAAAATTGTCAAGGGGAGCCTTTACCTTTACCTTACCTATGTTAATTAAATTACTATACATTTCCAATTCTGCTTTTTTCTTTGGATTATGTCTATGACCATCATTCATGTCACTGAGTATATCCATTTTTGAATAAACAGATGGTGAAACAAAATAATTGGTGAAAGAAGTCTGCTGTTTCAACTGTTTTTGCTACGGGGCTGCTCAATATTGGGAATTCTAAGTGTAGCAATCTTGTAGGTCACAAGAAATAACTCATAATTCTCATCTAGACCGTCTGTATTATCCACAGGAGGACAACTGTCAGGTCCATTCTGTCCAACATGATTCTGGTGCACCCTCCTGGCAGCAATAACATCAGTTTCTTGTTTCAGGAGTAATAACATGTTGTTGAGTCAATTCGGACTTAAGGTAACCAACCCTTTTCAGGGGTTTCCAGATAAAGAATTCTCAGAAGTGGTTTCTTCTGGGGCCATCCTGGGACTGTGCAGCTTGCCCAAACCTGCACAGGCTGCCTCTATTTGCGGGAGGTACAATGGGAATTGAATTCTGTAGCTAGATACCTAACCCATTGAGTTATCCAGCCAGCTTTCAGGAAAAGGCAAAATGTAGGTGTAATTTCCTTTTAGGGTTGGGGGATGGCCATACTACTCTGTTGCAACAAAGCTAACAAGTTGTCTTGTGGAACCTTAATAATTTTTATTTGACAAACAGTTTTTGTGGGCTGTAGGTTCACTGAAGAAGCATAGGATGAAGCAATCTGAACCTGAAAAAGCTTATTATCAAATACAACTTGTCAGCCTTTAAATCTGGCATAAGGTTCTTTGTTATTTCTAACACCCACCAGCTGAAACGACGTGCAAAAGATATACACACAGAACGAAAGAATTCTGAGCAGAAGAGTTTGTTTTGAATGCAAGAATTTGGAGGAGTTCAGAGTGCTTCCGCAAGCAAATCCACACATAAATCCACTCACCATTCATTTCTTGTGAACAAGGATTGCCATGTCCCAGAATGCTAACGGTCACATTGAGGAACTGTGACACTTTCCCAGGTTTTCAAGCAATGAGACAAATCTGTGAAGTATTCATATGTGTGTTGAGCCTTTGCAATATCAGCGCCTCCAAATAGGAAGGAGTGAGAGAACAAAACAGGAGAGAGGGCTAGCATGTGAATTAGTTTGGGTATCTGATGCCATTTGGAGCAAAGTAGTGAACTTTCTGGCTGTACAAGTCTCTGGCATCAGTGATACAGGGCCTGTGTGCTGGTATTAAACCTACAAAAACCACAGCAGTAGCAGAAAAGCTGCCCAAGTGTCTTGTATGCTGTAGGTAAAGCTGTCCAGATGCAACCACATTAGAAATGGCAGCAACAGCTGCAGTTGTTGGGTGCATGCCACTTTCTTGACCGCTGAAATGTGCTTTACCTCCTTGTTCTGGTTCTCTAGTTAGCCAAGTTTTTAGTGATTCTGAGCCTGTTTACACTCATTCTTCTTGTGCCCACTTCCACATGCGGTTGGCCAAGAAGCAGTTTTGCTCCCTTCCCAACCCTTGTCTGGCTTGCCCTTTTAATGTCACATGACCTCATCTTATGACATCAGAGTCATCCATCACATGGTCCCAAAGACTACACACACACACACCCCTCAGGTCTTAGCCTTGAAATTTAAGGGAATGGGATGCTGCTAATGCGGCAACTCTAAGTATTGGAATTTTGGTGCTGTAATTGTTAAACAAATTAGACTTGGAAATTTTCGATGACTTGCTTCAAATCATCCAGAGGTCAATTAGTGAATCCTCATCTCCTTTCTAATTGGTGCTATCCATTTCACCTACTGTAGAGATAGAACATGGCTACCAATAAATGTGTTGAGAGAGGGAAGAAACAAGAGGCAGACTGGCTGCCTTCCCCTGCTTCCCAACACTCACATCTAATCTATTCCCTCATAACTGACACCCTCTGAAAATGGGGTAAGATAGCATCCATATTCCAGCTAAAGCTATCTGCAAAAATATTGTTATGAAGAGGGTGCCTTCTAAACCAACTTTCCTGGAAGGTTAAGATGTCTCTACCTTTGGTAAGAAAACCTTCACCTTCCCTGGATAATTGACCATTCATGCATGACTATCCACAGGCACGAACTAACAATTTTGTTTAGCCTAAAGAGACTACTGCCACCTCAAAGACTGCTTATTTGGTATAACCTGGATTTATTAAATGCTTTTGCTGCAACAGACTAACATGCTTGCCTCTCCAGAAAAATAATACAAACTCTGCGAATTATTTTTCACAGATTTGTGGCTTCTGGATATTTGTGATGTGTTTTTAAACTTTGTGATGGCTGGTTTTTAACATGTTATTCAGACATAACTTTTCACTGCTCATTGTCAGCTCTATTAAGTAATTATATTAAAATAGTCATGCTTTTTATCTGTTAATAAGAACCCTACCCAATTTTCACCCGCACAAATGGTTAGGATGAACATGGACATTTAGGAGATTCATTAACCTTCCTAGTTTACATATTATTTTTCCATCTGGTCACAGCATTTCATTTCCTGATCTGAGATTTCAATGCTTTAAAAAAAATCATAGTAAGAACACAGACAATATTATGTCACACATTCACATGTGAGTATCTGACAATTTGCCAAGGTCTCATCTTTTTTGTATCCTGTCCCATGGGTGTTTGTGTGTCTTCAGCACACAATATGACCTTAATTTCACCTCAGTCCTATCAATAATAAAAAGTTCAGATTCTTGAGCAGACACAAGCCATTTTGTGGGTACATAAACCACCCAGAGATAAAGGGTTTTTTCCACTTGTGATAAATACCTGTTCATAGTATTAGAATAATAGAATACAGTGGACCCTCGACTTACAGACGGCTCAACTTACAGACTTTTCGAGTTACAGACTTCTCTGGCTGCAAAATTTAGATTCGACTTGCAGCCAGAGAATCGACTTACAGAACAGAAAAAAACCAAAATGGAATAAAAATAGAATAAAAACCACTGGTTATGGGATTAATCGGTTTTCAGTGCATTGTAGGTCAATGGAGATTCGACTTACAGACTTTTCGACTTGTAGCCACCATTCCAATACGGATTAATTCCTTAAGTAGAGGGTCCACTGTAATGGAGCTGGAAGGGCCTATAAGGCCATCGAGTCAAACCCCCTGCTCAGTGCAGGAATCCAAATCAAAGTAGACCTGACAGATAGTTGTCCAATTTTCTCTTGAATCCTCCAGCACTGGAGTGTGCACCACCTCCTGACGTAATTAGTTCCATTGCTGTACTATAACAGTCAAGAAGTTTTTCCTGATATTCAGTCTAAATCTGGATTCCTGTAATTTGAGCCATTATTATGTCTCCTGCACTCTGGGATGATCAAGAATAGATCCTTCCCCTCCTCTTTATGACTATCTTCCACATATCTGACAAGTGCTATTACATCTCCCCTCAGTCTTCTTTTCCCAAGGCTGAACATGGCCAGTTCATTCAGCCTTTCCTCACAGGGCTTGGTTTCCAGTCCCCTGATCATTATTCTTGCCCTCCTCTGAACTTGCTCCAGTTTGTCAGCATTCTTCTTAAAGTTCAGTGTCCAGAATTGGACACAGTACTGTAGATGAGCCCTAACCAGTGCCAAATATAGAAAATCATTTTAGATACAGAAATGGTGGGCCTCAGACATATAGACATAGCTGGTGTCTTTTAAGTTGTAAGCCTGAAGGGATTGTCTTATTATTCAACTTTCTAAGCTACTCTTGGAACCTTTTCAGCTAAAGAGCTGGGTAAAATTCTTTAAATAAAAGAAAAGAAGATTTGTTTCCCTTGGGATATAAAGCATTTCTTTTACACAACCAAGAAACAGTATGCATATGCAACAAAAGGTTTTGGAGGGTGTTTTTTAAAGAAAAAAATTGCCTTTTTACCATGTATACATTTGCTTTAAATTTCAGCAACTATAATCAGAGGCTTAACAAAATCAAAAAATATTTGAAGGGGAAAAAATACTGTATGCCAATTTGCTTTTAAATCAAAATTCTTTTCTTCAAACACCTCAGCTATCCTAACATAATTCACATGCTGTATTAATACAGTTTTCAAGGACAACATTTAGCTTTATTCCCAATGCACTGAATGGGAATAAAATAATTCAAAACATGACACATGTAAAAAATCCCAGGACACTACACTATTTGTGTTATAAGAGGTCTGTATGGAATCCAAATGACTGAGGGCATGATTCTTATAATAAGGTGTAAGGA